GCTAAAGTTGAACGAGCTGATGGATATGAACCACCAGTCCAAGAATCTGTTTAAAATTCAGACTTTTAATAATGACAAATAAAGAGTCCTATTTGTGACGGTTTGTTTCTGAACATTCTTTTTAAATAGTCTGACAGCATCGTAACCAGATGTTCTGATTTGATAGCTGGGAAACTTTTCTGACGTGTTGTGTGGATTTTATTAAGTAGTTGAAAAGGGGGTACTTTTTACCATTTTAAGCTGTAGTGATCTGGAAGTGTTATATAAATAGTTAACGAAAGAAAACTATTATATGCCTTAAATTTTTTGATGGTTCTCAGATTATCTGGAATGCTTGTTAAAACAGATTGTTGGGCCCCGACCTCAGAGTTTCTAACTCAGTGGTTCTAGGTGAGGCCTGAAGGTTTGCATTTCTAGCAAGTTTACAGGTGATGCTGACAGTCCACAGATACTTTGAGAACCAGTGTGTTAAATTGAGTAATAGGAAGGGAAGAGCCCATTGGCTTTTAGGTTTGTTTTTTAAAATCCAAATACTATCTTCTGCCTCCAGCTATATATATAGTAAAGTGAACAGATGATTGGATGTAACCATACTGCTATGCCCCTGCACTGTGAAGCTGAATTTGGCAAGAGAAACTGGTTACTGGTCTATTACCAGGTGGGCATTTAGTGCTGCCCACCACCAGTCACTCACCCGTTCTGTGTTACCTTTTTCTCCTCAAACCTCCCAATTTCTCATTTCTGGCTTAGCTGATGATGACCCTGCTTCCTATAAGCACTAACAAAATTGATAGATATATAAATATATCACTGAATGAGATGAGAAGAATCTCACATTGCCATTATTAGCACCCTGCCATCTGTGCATGTGTTTGTATTTATATTCTGGCTTCAGTCAGGTCCCTGGATGAATTGTGCTACGACAATCTTTCCATTGAGCATTAGATCCCGAATCTTATTTAATCAGGCTGTTGGCTCCTGTAATGCACACCTTTTTCAATTCCTCCTCCCTGTGCCTTGCATCAGCATACAAAACTGAAATGCTCCTGTACCCTTCCAGAGCACTCTACTCAGCCACCTTATAGCCAAGCTCAAAGGGATTTTTTTTTACATATTTTTGTATGATTTTACTTACAGGAGTTTAAAACATTATTTTGTATTTTTGCATTTTATTTTGCCTGAATCTGCTGCAGTTAGCCTCTTCCCCCATACCACTCCAAGAAAGCTGTCATTGCCGAAATTACCAGTGATTTTGTTGCTGAGTTCATTGATCCGTTCTCAGTCTTCATTTTATTTGACCTCTTACTAGTGACACTTGACAGTTGATTTCTTCCTTTAACTGTCATCAAAGACCTCAACTCAAGGTTTTCCTCCTGCCTCACTGGCTCCTTTACAATAAAAGGTCATCTCTTAGACCCTGAATTAGTTGTGGAAGGCCCTAGGGCTTGATCCTTGGAATATTTCTATAACAGATTGTTTCTTGGCTTTAAATAAACTGGTGAAGGTTTTTATATTTCTAGCCCATATCTTTCTCTGGTATGTCTAGGTTTGTCTATCCAGCTGCCTACTTGATACCCCACTTGGATGTCAAATATGCATTTTACATGTAATGTTCTAAAATGGTATTCCTAGGGGCCAGGTGTGGCTCGCACCTGTGGTCCCAGCTACTTCAGAGGCTGAGGTGTGATGATTACTTGATCCTAGGTGTTCAAGGCTGCAGTGAGCTATGATCCTGCCA